AACTTATTATGGTGGAATTACCTACCAAGATAATTAACAAAAATAATTTTACAAACTGCAATGACACCACTTCAAAATTGCAAAAAAAGTGTAACTATTTAATCGTTTTTGTTCTACACTTAATTATGTTAAGTACTTAGTTAAATCTAAGAAACACCTGTAATCCGTTAACAATGCCAAGGTCTGGCAAAAACTGTTGTCGCAAAAAAGACAATGTCAGCGGGTCATGAGCTGTTTATCCCGAAGTGAGGTAATCGTCTGTCTAAGGTAAGTAATAAGATTAGGTATAAATATGTTATTTATTATTCAAATAATTCATTCTACGTTATATTTACTTAATGCCCTTGTTAAGAAAACTGACCTTGGATTATTGGGATGCAATATTTTGTTACTGCGCGTAACGCCCCCTCACAATGGTTTCAACTGAAAACCTGCAGGCCTAAGATGCGCACCATGTTAAAATTTTATCGAGGATTTTAGACGTCCATTTTGTCGACAATTTTTATCGCATAAAATGGATAAAATGACACGATGAAAGCTTATTTATCGCGGCGCGCATCCTAGCTAGGCTAGGCCAACATTAAAAGTAATTCTTAGTACGTTTTTTTTACTTTTAATTTTAAAACTAATGTGTTATATTGTTTACGTTACATGATATTCTATTCAAAAATAAGCCACAAATAGACTTCAATAATAAGGCATAGCACCTTTTCATGAAACAAAAGCACTAAGTAAGTAAATTAATGACCGAGGAGTGCAATCCACGAATCAAGACGTTTTTATTTGGCTCACCCTGAGCTGTGTCAAGGATTTGATTCAGTCTATTTAATAACTAAATAAAGTAATCAACTAAACTCCTAAACTGATAACAAAAACAACACGTAATACTTTAGATAACTAGTTACACCATAAAGTCTTTGATTTATTTAAAATGTACGTTTCCAATCCAATTCCACTCTTGACGTTAACAACTAGCAGAAACATGAATTAATTTCCGCATGTGATTCATTCCATGTTTTTATATTTCTTTTATAAATTACCTGTTTCAACCACAATGAAGTACGAGGTTTATATGACTAGCTGTTATATGATGTACTTATGATGTACAATTACAGAAATACAGAATACAAACTGGTATTAGTAAGCTGCAGGTGCGCAAGAAGGTACTCACACCACGATAATATTGGTGCGATATAACAAAAAAAAATTATTCTGATCTACTGTCCTCTATAAGAATTAAACTTATAAAGGGACTCAAACATCATAGGAGTAAAAAACAAAGCGTTTTCTTCAATATTTAGTTTCGGAATGGACCGAAGAAACTGGAGAGACCATTTTCAGCGTAACTTCAGGTGTCGTTTGTTATTACGGGCGTTGTGTCTTGAAACTCTCATTCAACATGTACGTGTTAAATTAAACACAAATAGGGATGTTTCCTGGGTCAAAAAGCAAGAGTTTTAATTAGTCCGTCAGTTAACTTATCAAAAAATACTCTACACGTATTTTTCACTTTTTCAAACTAATGAAAATTTAAAGAGATAAAGCGCGCCAAAGTTCATAAGAAGAGGCCCGTGACGTCAATGCGTGCATAAAAGTGCCGCACGTTGTGACGTCGTGCGGAACTTCAACGCACCATAACTATGTAATTATTTGTTAGATTGACTAATAAAAATATATGTGTCCAATATTTTTTGATATTAAACATGACGGAAAATTTTTTAGGAAACTAGCCTATTGTTCAGCTTTTTATACAGGCTATTAATGAGTTCAGCGACAGCGATTTCTCATTTTACTCCTAAGTAGATTTCTTGTTTATTTTCAATCCCCTATCATAGTATCATTAGAGGTAATAACCACAAAGATTTCACCTATCTTTTAGAGTAAGAAATCATGTCAATCATCAAAGCCACACGACCGTGGTGCCTTTCGTCATATATCACAATGATTATGCGCCAATTTCATAGTTTATTTTTACTTGGTTATAACTTACCTATACTTAGTTACTGTACTAGCTGTCATGTAATTCGTTAGTAACTAGCGCAAAGTAACTTCGTGCAACTTGTTTATTGTAGCAAGCTGTTGCATAGTAGCTATACCTACCTACAGTAAATATAAACGTATAGGTATCTTATTTCGTAAACGCATAGTAAAGGAACGCAGATTTTCTTCGCTTGATCTTTCGATAGACTACTTAGGTACATATTACGTTTACACTGTATTTACGCGTGTTGTTCAGTTTGTAGTTAAAACTTACAAGTTACATCTTCTGTTAGTAGTTTTATTAGTGTCTTTGCTAGGCAATTATCGTTAAGTAAACTTTACATATTATTGCCATTATTCACAATTTAAATACCTAATAAATAATTACTTACATAGTAACACGTGCCTGTGAAGTAGACAGATGTATTTAGGTACATAGGTACTTAGGTAATCGTAACGTTTACGTACCTAATAAAAATCCCATTAAAAATTATAAAAACCCTATTGTTTACGAAATTGAATTGTTTTTGATTAAATCAAACTTTTTCGCGAATACCCACCCCATAAATTTTCTCAATAATTTGTAAATAATCATGGAGCGCATTTTATTCCTTAGAGGACCACTCGTACCTATTCCAAATATGTATCAGTTTTGTGGTAAAAGCAGAAGATACTAATGATACTAAGTGCGAAATAATTTAACTAAGCTCATACAGAATATGATTAGGTATTATTTAACTTTACATGCGCGCAACCATTAATTGCAACGGGTAATGTTAATGTTTTCAAACGTTAAAACTAGAACAATCGATAATACGATAATACTCACTGCCATCGCCTTTTGTCGTTCAGTTTCAACGACGCGGAGTTGCCCATAGTGTCAGGTCGCTGTCCACCGCAAGTTTACAAATTCCGCGCGCGGTTTACGAGGATGGAAGCGTCTTAGCCATCCGGCCAGCCGAGCTACAGTACTCAGGTGAACTGGCTGCAGCGCGTGCGGCCATGACTTTCCCTTGCAAAACTTTGCGTCATTTGAAACAATAAGAATCATTGTTGATACCCCTAATATGGGCAATAAATAATTTCCGAATTGGGGAAATGCTTTCTTCTAATCGTATTGGCCACTAGATGTCGCAGTAGGTTTATTTCAGTAGGTAGATTCAGTAATTTTATTTTATTTTATTTTTCTTTAAGGAAACAAACAGCATGAGTTGTTACATGTGAGCTTAAAAAATAAATAGTACAGAAGCCTAATCAGTTTCCACAGATAAACTTTACAAGTTAATTGAAAGTTATGCAGAGTGCGAGCAATTTGAAATCACAAAATATAAAAAAATGCACAACAAAACCTTTAATTCTTAAGTAGATTAAAAAAATTATTATAATAATAAAGTTTGAAATCTATAAACCCTTCAACAGGCAACGAAACTGCGCCAACTTCAAATGAAATATGTCGATATCACTGTAAGCATCAATAAAAAGTTATAATAAAACTGTTACATCTGTAATTAGTCTTGCAAACAGGGGTTGAAAACGTGAACTTACGCCTCGCGCCAGGTCTAGAACACTTCAGAGCCAGACTGCTTAACAAGAAAGAAGAATCAACTAATCCGTTGAGTATTTTAAATAAAAATATATAATTTGATCTTTGTGCTCTCGGCGAACCAGTAACGATTCCATTTTATTGGAATCAAAGTTCCTAAACCTGTTTATTGTATTTAATCAGTAGGTAGGTAAGGTAATTTTAACATCGTTATAGCCTGACCAGGAACATAAAAACCCTGGCATAGAGGCGNTTAACTAATGTCCGTATTGTTCCAAATTCAATAAATTCATTAAATTATTGAATACATTTACTTTTATTTCCAACCCATTCTTTAATAGGTACGTGCTTAGCTAGGAAAATAACATAGATAAAATTGGTGTTTAGCTGAACAATTATATCTAAATTTTAGTTTTCAAGTTATTTTAATTTAATGTATTACTATAAAATTATATTTCGTCATCACCATTAACATAAGATCATTACCATTTTAATAAAATCATTACCATTGGGAAAACGTCATTACCATTTTGTGAAAAAATATTTGGACGCTTGTTACTTCTAAAATAACGATTGAATCTAAGGGCCTCACACTGATCTAAAAAGCTCATTGCTTAACCTTTCAGTTTAAGCTAGTTTGCACGCATTCCTGTAAAGTTTTTCAAAAAACGTAAAATAAATCTCGCGGAATCAAATCGGCGGATCTACCCTTGCGCACATTTAAAATAAAGTTTATTTACACTTTGACAGCAATAGACTGACATTTTCAGTTACTGTTGCCATTAAAAGAAATTAGTACCATTAATTTTCCGCAACATGGCGAGGGTTTTTATGTTCCTGGTCAGGCTATACATCTTATTTTGCAGATATAATACTTAATTAAGGGTCTCGTCATTGTTTATGTAAGTAAAGCCATTATTCTGTAGGTAAGTACGCTCAAATAGTAATTTCGTGTTTCATAACATTTTATTAGGTATTATGGCTGTAGGTATTAAAAAAGTATATTCAACAGTAGGTAGTACCTATACTAGTGTACTCACATCACTACTTGTAAAGACTGACTTACTCAAGGAAACTTTTTAAGCTCGTGCTATAAACAGGTTTGATTCCGGGTTTAATACATATAATTAAGCATGAAATGGTATTTACCATCATTTAGTCAATTTCTATGCCTAGGAAGGTACTTGTATGCATCTATAAATGAAAGTACATACATATTCAATTCAATTTTCTAAATATTTACAAAGCATTTTTTTACGCAGGGTCTTCATATTGCCAACGTAGAATTTTATTATGGTTTTGTTGATCCTGTCTGGAAATCAAACCCGAGAACGTCCTAAATGAATGGCTCTCTCTTGAATGGGCGTAATGCCTGCCTATATTTTCACCAAAACACATACTGCATAAAATGAAACTTGGTAAATTTGGTAATCTGTCAACGTCAGCATCGGTCAGCTGTCAATGTCAATTTCGTTATGTGGATTTGTGGGAGGTTATGTTGAAAATTAAATAAATATTAATTAAAATATAAAGTTGGCGTCCAATATTTTCTACTGGATTAAAACTTAATTCCAAAATGAAAAAGGAAGGTAAGATTTCCAATAACATTTTTGTTAATAAACCTCAATTTTCACGTAGCGTTTTTTCGGATTACTCAATAATTTTAAAAACTTGCTCATGTGTTCACAGAAGTTCAAGATATATTCCTCAAAATACTGAGAGAAGAAGAGGATGTATCCGCAGGAGTTGCAGCTATACGAACCCTTTTGACTGTGATAGAAAACTATAAAGGTAGGTACTTGTATACAATTTGCCATCAATGCATGATACAACTGATTAAAGCCTTGGGGAATCTTTAACGCCCGTATTCACAAACATTACTATGAGGTCTCCCAGTCTCCCAGTGCGCGTGGAGGCACAGGGTCACACATGAACCAACCACAGAGCTCTATTCAACGCTGTGCGTTCGATTTTCTGCTTCACCTAAGCAAGCATCGTTTGTGAATACGGCTGTAAGTCTTGATGTTACTGTTACTTAGTTGAATTATGACCCCGTTGATGTTGTGTTTAATTAACTCATAACTGCCATAGGTAGGCACTTTATCAATTGTAACATTTTCTAGTTGCAACAGTGAGAGAGCTGGACTTAAACCTGCAGTTGGCTGTAGACGCGATGCGACACTGCGACCAGCCTGTAACGGCCATTTCCTCCGGCTGCGAACTCTTCATGAGATTCATAACCTTGGCAAAGTTAGATGTTAAGGTTTGTATTGCAAATCATACTAAAGTAACTGTCTGTTACCATTTCACGTTTATACCATTGAACCAAATTAAATGGAATTTGATCTATAAAGACTGAGAGAAATACCAAGAAAAGATTTTCCCCAGTTTTTGAAAAGGGGGACAAACATACAATAGTCTGTTTATGACACACAAAGCTAGTTAAATATAAAATCTTATCATATTATATAAGATATGGCAATGAGTATTTCAATTATAGTTTGTAAAATTTAAAACATATCTTGTTTCTTTTTGCAGTCATTTGAAGAATGTGAACAGATAATGTTGCAGAGAGGTCGCATATTCCTTGACACATTGCTTGAGGCCAGAGGGAAGGTGGCCAAACAAGCTTTACCCTTCATTAGTGATGGTTGTGTAAGTTATCTAATATTATTGTATTATCAAAGCTGTTTCTGGCTTATAATGATTCTAAAAATGTGTATTAAATCAATTTCAAAGCAAAATTGTTTGTTCACAGAAAATCCTAACACATTCTCGGTCCAGAGTAGTATTACAAGCTATGTTAGAAGCATCAAAAGCTAATAAAAGGTTTCAAGTGTTTGTCACTATGTCATCTCCAGATAATAGTGGGTTAGTAACTTTTTTATATTAATGGTTTGCAGAATTTAGTAAACTTCACTGATAAAAACTTCTTTATAATTATTAGTGTTTTAAAATTATTTTCAAGTTCAATGTGGATTGGCCACTAAAGTCATAAGTCACTTATTTTCTGCAAATAGGCTTTAAACACACTATTTGACTGAGGGTGTTGACTCTTTTCTTTAGAAAATATGCATCTAGGGCGAGTAAAACATGAATTTTGCCAAATCATTTTGAAGTATTTTAAACTTATTTTCAAGTTTAAAGTGGAACGGCCACTAAAGTCATAAAAATCATATAATTTCTGCAAATAGGCTTCAAATTTTGAATTGCCATTTTCATATTTTTAAGTAACAAAAAATATGTTTGTATTGCAGTGAGCTTATGCACAAACAGCTGGTGGCTGCGGGCATCGACGCCACATTGATCCTGGACAGCGCAGTAGGATACATTATGGAGCAGGTGGACCTCGTCATGATCGGCGCCGAGGGCGTCACGGAGAGCGGCGGCATCATCAACAAGGTTGGTGCAGCTCAAATGATAATAAATAAATAAATATCCTCAGACATTAACACTGCGCTTCTAGTCCCAAACTAAGCAAAGCTTGTACTGTGGGTACTAGACAACGGATATAAACATACATAAATACCTTTTTTTTGTAAATACATACTTATTATACATAGAAAACACCCAGTCCAATACAAACAAATATGTTCATGCACACAAATGTTTGTACTGTGCGGGAATCGAACCCGCTACCTCCGGAATAGTAGTCCGTTTCGAACCACTACACCAAACGGCCGACAAATGATCTTTTTTTTGTTACAAAAGATTATTAGTAATTTGTTATTACGTCCCGTTAACCCCTCGTACTTAGCTAAATATGCTTGTATCACGAGTGAGCTCACCACAATAGTCGAGCGGCGGCGGGGACCAAACCCGCGTTCCCCGGATCACGAGTCGGCCAGTCCCACCCCTTCACCGTTCGGCTATCGTGGCTTCTTCTGTGGCGGCTTTTTCTTAACCCCGTTTAGTTTATTTATGTCCCGTTAATACCTCGTGGTAACGGGACTATTCCTACCTCTCTTTCTCACCGCTAACTCCTGTGTAGCCAAGATCTACAGCTTGACTGCCAATGAAAACCCTCTGGTGGTTGTGGTAGAATGCTCGCCCGCCCCTCCTGGTAAGCTAAATATGCTTGTGTTACGAGTACAAGTGGGTTCAAATATGGAGATAGTTTGAATGTCTTGGAAAAACAAAAATTTTTATCCCGGTTTTTGAAAAGCCCGCGTTAAAGTCATTCTACGACAGACTAAAATTCAGTCAAGTCAAGCAGCAGGCAATTTTATTCATCAAGTAAAAAACTGTCTTCCATCTTTGCAGATCGGCACTTACGGCCTCGGTATAGCGGCATCAGAACTCAAGAAACCAGTCTACGTTCTAACAGAGAGCTTCAAATTCTCCCGGATATATCCTCTCAACCAAAGGGATGTCCCCAACGAGTTCAAGTACCTCTCAAGTGTCCTCAAATCTGGTAAGGACCTCACGAAACAGCATCCCTTAGTAGATTACACACCGCCAGTCTATATTACCTTATTGTTTACGGATCTAGGAATTCTCACGCCGTCAGCTGTTAGTGACGAACTCATCAAACTGTATTTGTAGTGTAAGTTGTGCCTTATAATGTTAATAAATTTTGTACATATTAATTGTCAATGGTTTAATTAAAATTTCCTGTAGCTAGGCTAGACAACGTTACATTCGCTATATATTTCGATTGGGTGAAGTCGCGTAGGGATATCTATTTTTTTCTTATTTCTTAAATAAAGGTGGGCTAAAAACTAAAACTTCGCATGTATTTAATCCAAAATTGTCTGGCACTTTATTGAATATGACATGAAAAAATATTTACAGTCAATCTTACACTAAATAAAATACTAAACACTCAAATAAACTTTAGTATCCATATCTCACTTTGTGTTACATTTGTCAACATAACAGTACGTTTCCTTTGTCCGGCGACCACGTGCCGCCTACAAACCTACATCATTTGCTTATTTACTGGAAGCACAAATATCTAAAATACTACATATTGGCAGCAGCAACAGACAAAACTATCACATAGAATACATTTATTGCAACTTTACATACAAAAATAACACTCTGCGTCAACATAATATAAGAGAGTAAATATTGGTTTAAAATATAAATCGTATTATCTAACAAAATTAAATCAAGTATTAAGTTTCAATAAACGTATCGTGTTACACAAATAATACTTACACTCATTGAAAACAGTCGATATTCGTTATACTTTAAATACATAATAATGATACTAACTTGTACTTTCATAAAACATATTTCAGTTACAATGCGAATAAAGTTCGGTCATACGTAGCTACACTTACTTCCCTAAGAAAGTACCATCCGAAGGAGATCAACATTTCGTAACCTGAGGCAATCCACAATACTATAAAAGAAATACTAATATTTATCTCTTTTATAATGTACTTAATACGACTATGAATAAAAATAAATCCATAAGAGAGTAGAATACAATTCAAAATAAAATGTTATTAGGTTAGGTGGTTAAAGTATGAAATTGTCATTCTGTATGGAGAAATTGAGAAAATTAATTTTTGATAGTTTTTAGAGAACCACAAATCTGAATTTTATGATGTGAGTAGATTGAGACATTAAGCTATAGGATATTTAAAGAAAAAAATTATGAAGTTATATTTTTAAAAAGATACTAATATTTTTGTAACGGTAAGGGAAACCACTTAGGACAAGCTGTTTTTGACGATTTATTACTAGTAAAAGAAAGAAAAGAAGGAATTATGTACTAATGAATAAGAAAAATCGGCAATTTCACACTTATCCCCTATTATTACAACAATTATATGCTTAACATTCGTTAAATTATAATTCGGAATAGCAATGATTGAATAACGTAGTTCAGTAAGAGTATCAGTATATCGATCACTCATCCATACATGAAAAATAGCGTGAACACTCATCTCCCAATACATTTGTTCCCAAACCAGGTCAAGAGTTGCGGAATACCTCATTTTAAGTAGTTATTATTTTGTCATGTCCATGACGCAATTCGCACTTAGTCTTTCATCATCCAATAGGTGCTTTTGTAATGTTTACTACACTCACTACACACGTGGTCAGTTATAAAGAAATTCGATAAAAAGAGTAGGCTTACTAAAGTATAAAAGTTTCAGTTTAAAAGCGTCGATATTTCAACACCTTACGATAATGTAGTTGCACGAGAGTATTTTGATTATATTAAAAACAATAAATCTAACTTATTATTGTCGATGTATTGTTTAAAATGACTTATCAGGCACGTTTTATTCTTAGAACACGCTTTTTCAGTCAATAAGTTTATACCTACCTCGAGAAATTAAATTCATTGAATTACGATAAACGGCTTCATACAATCCGATTATTTTGGTGCTCAATCAATTTATGCTAAGATTTATTTACCGCATAATCGAATTTATTGAGCAACACGTCTAGCTAGTGATGTGCTCGTTAGCTGTCTTTTATCGATGCGCTTACCAAAGGCGCGGCCACTTGCCCTATGTTTGCGTACTAAAAGGCCGTAAGTTTGACTTTAGTTCCTATCCGGTTCCACAGGCGGGCGAGTGACGTGGCTTGTGGCTATCTGTTGTAGATGTTATCGATAATGGTGTAGATCTGGTGGAAGTGCGGTCGCTTGTCCGCTTCGTACTCCCAGCAGCGCAGCATTAGTGCGTATACGTCTTCGGCGCAGCCTTCGGGTGCGGGCATCCTGTAGCCTGTAGAAATGTTCACAGTTATAAATAAGTAACACCACGAGCACACCTAAAAAAAGTCAGGTTTTTTGAACGCTGACTGTTGTCGTTATTAAGAAATCATATGAATTTATTAGAGAGCATATAAACAGACAAATAAGCTACCAGTAACTATTACGTAATCTGTCCCTACACAAATGATATTTTTTGGTCCATCATAAGCAATCTGCCAAAGTTAAACTTAACATACTGAAATTGCTTGATCACAATTTTTTTAATTTGTTCACCCAGGTGNCCCAGGTGGTTGGGTTCCAATATCGTGTAGGTATTGTGAGCTAATTTATTTCTGGAATAATTTCCAATTACATACATCGACAACTTACCAGCATCGATCTTCTCCCGGGCCCTCGAGTTGCTCATCCCTGCATAAGGCGTGTCTCCCTTGGAAAAGATCTCCCACATTAGCACGCCATAGCTCCACACGTCACATAGCGACGTGTATTTTCCTAAAACGAAGAACATCCTTATAAAGAGGTCACTCATAGTCATAATATTATTTGATTAATTTAATAAAAAAGGTTAATCAACTTTAGAAAGGTTATCTATTTTCCGTGTCGAATTATGAAACGCTAAAACCACAAGGAAATGATAATTTCATTTGTCATATTTCTAAGTACGAGAAATAAAATATTTGTCATAGCACACGCGAAATTACGTACGTACGCATGATTATTTAAGGTAATAAAGCACATGGAATGACGTCAATAGAAATTTATTGTGTTATGAACACAACAAGTAGAAATCATACCACCTCAATAGTCGAGGAGTTATGAAAAAGTAGGTTATTGCTATATTTGGTATCTTTTAACTCCTCATACGATTTTTCCTGTATTATTTTAACTGTCGGAGACTAGGCCCCTAATCGTGTAAGAGAGAACAAGTGAAATGTATTAATTAACTCTGGTTGAAGTCGGCAGCCAAGTTTTGGGCGATGAGAACCCGCGAAGCTGGTTGTGGGTACTGAAAGTTTTACCAAATTAATGAGTTCTCACCAAAATTGANTCACCCAGGTGTTTGGGTTCCAATCTCATGTAGATATTGTGGACTAATTTATTTCTGGAATATACAATTACCTATATCGACAACTTACCAGCATCTATCTTCTCCCGGGCCCTCGAGTTGCTCATCCCTGCATAAGGGGTGTCTCCCTTGGAAAAGATCTCCCACATTAGCACGCCGTAGCTCCACACGTCACATAGCGACGTGTATTTTCCTAAAACGAAGAATATCCTTATAAATATAGGTCATTCATAGTCATAATATTATTTGATTAATATAATGAAAAAGGTTAACCAAGTTTAGAAAGGTTATCTATTTTCCGTGTCGAATTTTGAAACGCTAAAACCACAAGGAAATGGTAATTTCATTTGTCCTATTTCTAAGTACGAGAAATAAATATTTGTCATAGCACACGCGAAATTACGTACGTACGCATGATTATTTAAGGTAATAAAGCACATGGAATGACGTCAATAGAAATTTATTGTGTTATGAACACAACAAGTAGAAAACGTATTACTATAACAGTCGAGGACTTATGAAAAAGTAGGTTATTGCTATATTTGGTATCTTTTCAACACCTCATAAGATTTTTCCTGTATTTTTTTTAACTGTCAGAGACTAAGTAGGCCCCTAATCGAGTAAGAGATAACAAGTCAAGTATGTATAACTACTTAGCTCTAGTTGAACTCGGCATCCAAGTTTTGGGCGTTATCAATTTGTGGTAAAACTTTCAGTGCTCATAAACCACTGGGTTATGATGAGCACTGAAAGTTTTTACAAAATTAACAAGTTCTCACCAAAATTAAGTGCCTCCGGCGCCGTCCACTTGATCGGTATCTGCTTCATGCCGCCAGACACGATGTATTCCTCTTCCTCCCTCGACATGCCGAAGTCTGATATCTTGACTATATTGTCGTCGCCGACCAGGCAATTCCTAGCAGCCAAGTCCCGATGGATGCAGTTCTTGGACTCCAGATACCGCATGCCCGCGGCCGCGTCTCGACACATGGCAAGGAGAGCTCGGGACCCGAGGCTTGATGACCGCGTCCGTAAAAATGTTAGGAGAGAGCCACCTGGAAGATAAAGTTGAAAATTACTCGTAAGTTCAACTGAAACTGAAATAATCCCTTATAGTTATTAATTGAGAGATTTTCTCAAACAATATTTTTCACTACCTGTGGTGGGACTTTCACCTGTGGTGAATTCACCAGTAGGCCTAGGGCAGCTGATTTTGACACGGCAGGGCCAAACTTGTCATGTCTGTTTGGACTTTGGACAAGCTAACGTATGTCCAACGAATAACTCGCGACTCCGTTTCAATAGCTCCGGAGAACACCGTCCATCTGGTTATAGTGAGTAGGCTTCACCCTTCTGACGGGGAGAGGCCTACATAAGCCACTGTCCGTAGTGTCCGTTTCCATCGGCCGACATGGATTCATGCCTGATGCAGTAGGCAAAGCATTTCCCGACGGGAAAAGGCGAAGCATTTAAAAATTCTCCTTTTCATGACCTCACCTGACACGAGCTCCATGACGATCATAATCGGCGGCTTCTGCACCGCGATGCCTATGAGCCGCACGATGTTAGGATGCTGGTACTGCTTGAGGATGCGGCCCTCTTGCAGGAACGTTCGCTTTTGCTCTTCAGGCAGCGCCACCCTGCAGGTCTTGACTGCCACTTCTTGGCCAGTCGTCTTTAGGCGCGCCTTGTATACGTCGCCAAAGTTTCCCTGTTGAGATTATGAAATTTATTTTATTATACCACTTCAGTAGACTTTATTATCGACTCTTTTGTCGACCGTTTGGTGTAGTGGTTCGAAACGGACTACTATTCCGGAGGTAGCGGGTTCGATTCCCGCACAGTACAAACATTTGTGTGCATGAACATATTTGTTTGTATTGGACTGGGTGTATTCTATGTATAATGTATGTTTTTACAAAAAAAAAAGTATTTAAGTATGTTTATATCCGTCCGTTGTATGTCTAGTACCCATACAAGCTTTGCTTAGTTTGGGACTAGAAGCGCAGTGTAAAATGTCCAAGGATATTATTTATTTATTTCTCTTCGAATAGCCTACCTAGTCTGTTTATGTTAAAAAAAAGTTAAGGCGAGTGCTGATCAAGCCATCATAGGCGCTAGATGGCGAAATGCATACGCTCTTTTGGCCCGGTGCTAAATAAATGTGTTAAGTAATTGTAACTGTCTAGGCAATCTTATTTTGTCAATAGTTATGAAGCAAGATTATAAGTTTGAGTAAGTTGCATTTTGTTTCAATCAAAAGACGTCCTCTGCTGGCCAAAAGCAGGTTTTGCAATTCGACCAGTCCTGCGTTGCCCGCGACCTTCGCTAGATCATCGATCCACGCTGAAGCTGGTCTACTACGTCTTTAGGTCCGTACTCGCCACTGGAGAACTTTTCTGTGCATCAACGGCTATCAATTCTACTATACTGTGTACACTTACCCTTCCAATCTTATCGCATAGCTGCACATCGTCGTTATTAAGCTCCCAAGTCTCCCGTGGCACCGCTCGCCGCAGCAGCGCGCCCGAGCGGGCCGTCACCGGGACCCCGCTCGTTCTCTGCCACGCTATCAGCTCGGCCACCGACGGGAAAGCTGCCCCTTCGAACCGATAGTGGCCCTGGAATGTATTGCCCTTCTCAGTCAGTGGAATCCATCTCTAGTTAGTCGGTTTAGGGTCCATTTTAGCAGTTAATAACACAGTAGCCGGTTAGAGTAATTAAATAAGCCGTAAAAAGTTAATTGTTGGTTTTACCCTAATGGGATGGTACTGAAGGGTTTTGTTTAAGAAATCGATTAAATTCTTAGCGAAAAGATCATTTACCATATACGCTTAATCGCCTCCGAGTAAACGCTTATTAGTCGAACATAAACGATAGCTGTAATTAAGTAAAAGTGACTTAAATTTGCGATCCAAGTCTTAAAAGTAGGTACCTACGAAAGAACGCAAGGTATCCTTCAAGTTTAAATATGGATAGTAGTAGAGATAATTGATCTTCTTGGTGCATTTTTTATACGATTTGGGAATAATACTTAAGATATCCTTAGATTTAATTAAAAGTTGTAACGTTAGTAATGTTAGTATAGTTAGTTAACAATAACGTCTTCGGGGAGCTTGTAAGTACCTAAACTACAGATGCGTCAGATCCAAACCAGATTTACGCCCTCGTGTTTGCGGATCGTTTGTTTCTATGACGTCAAAGTTCTGGAAAGCACTGATAAAGCCGTGGGCGACGGCATAGCGCCGATGAAATTATATTTGCATAGGAAACAGACCAGACTGGTCTTGACGTCTTGATCCGCAGACATGTATCTAATTAATAAAGATCACAGTTATTTAATTAGGTACCTACTCATTTTACGAAATGCACTTTTGATTAGTTTGATCATGCTAAAAAGCGTGTCAATTCAATATCGAGTTAAAAAAGGTAACCCAAAAGGCTAAAAAACTTATTTGTCCCACCCCAATTTGGCACCCATTCAAGTGCTTAAACGGGACTGATGCCCGTTTTCACCATCAATCCCTAATTTTTAAGTGACCCCTATGGTAACACATAAGTAACAGAAATTTGTTGTCATAGGGACCACTTAAAAATTAGGGATTGATGGTGAAAACGGCATGAGAGCTCCAACATCACTGATGCTTACTCACCTCAGGCGTGGTTTGTACGATGAAGTGTTTGTGCTGTCCCCAGCACACGGAGAGCACCAGCTGCCTCGCGTGGTTCCTGGTAGTCTCCCGCACCAGGTAGTCCCCATCAGCTCGTAATAGCCGAACCACTTCTTCCCTCGGGAGCACCCCATGGAACCATTCTTGCTCCACCAGGGACCTCTCTGTTTCGCTGACGCTGACCTAAAAGCGAAAGACTGTGTTAGGAGTAGGTACTTTTAAACTTAGGTACTGTTAACCTAGGTACTGTTAAACGTAGGTACTGATAATAATTAGATAGGTTCGAAAGTTTTTGGATAGGTACTGATAAGAACCTACTCTCAATATTCAATTATTTATTGCATCCATAATGTTGCAGATAAATTTTGTTTATTTTTTTTAATGTCATATCTTAATGTAGATCCAACTTGTATAAATATGTTGAAAATCGTGGGAAATCATAAATTAATGTGTAACTGGATTATATAAAGCAGAACATTAGATGCCACAACAAAGTAAATAAACAACGTCTCTGGTTATTTCAAACTGAAATACAAAATACCACGCGAAACACATGCCACGTGCCGGCTCCTAAACCAATCAAGTCGAGTTGAGATACGGTTAATTCCAGAAGCATGATTGGTGCAATTGTGTCAATGACAAATCGTGACAACTCGACTATTGATTGAGTATAGGATAGGAGCCACGTACATTAGTGTAACTATGATCAAAACAACACACACAACAACATTTCAACATACGAGTTCTTGTTCCAATTCAAGTTGCAACTGCTTCAATCGCTTCTTCCTTCGCGGAACGACCACTGGCGGCGGCAGCTCCGAGTGTGTGATATACATCGCAAACGGATCCATTTCTCAACACCGGACGTCTTCAGAACTCATAATACAACATGATAGCTACACTTTATTATCTTTTTATTTCCATCGGTCGGTAGGAGCACCACAAAAACAGGATGAAGTTGACGTAAAACCAACGACCGCCGCGTGAGCAGACGCCGCGTAAACAGGCAAACATTTCTGGAACGTCGCAAGCGGCTTCACCTTGATTTTGAAACTGACTTTTAGTGAGAGCCTGTGCTATTTTAATTTCAAAAGCTTATTATTCCGGAGCGAAGTTCGTGCGGTGCACGCTGACGCTAAATTTAACACTGCCACGTCGGAACAGTACTTTGCAGACTATTTTGCTCGGATTCAGTGCGTCGTGGGAGATAAAGCTTCATGCAGCGCGGTTTCCATGCCATGCGCACTACGCGTGGTTAGTTGCACTCACCACACTGTTAGGACAAAGATTGGTAGCGCTACGGTTCTTCTTTCTCTTTCTAAACACGCTGTGGCCTTGAACACGACAATGCACATAAACATCGACACGCTTGCGCAGGCGCCGCTTCAGCCTGAGGCGCCTCTTGCGGAACCCGACTGTTACCGTATCGGCGGGGCCCTCGCTGCTGCTTCGGTAGGTTTTGGGCGGCAGCGCGGGGCTGGACGGGACGGATTTGCGTCGGAAGGGCCGCGTGAACATTTTGAAGAAGGGCCTCGGAGGGATAATCGAGTGGAGGTGCAACCGCAACACGTCCATCGACGCCTTAGACCCGAGCGAGGATCGATCCTGATAAGGTTATTTTTTGTAATGCACAAGATATTATAGCCAGCAAACCGCCTATACATTGTAGTTTCCATTTTATATCCATTTTCATACTTATTCAGTTTAAAACAAATATTTTCTAGGTAATTCTGTATAATAAGTTCTAGCAGCATCTCATCATGTATTGCCAACGGGCCTTAAACTTAAATTGGTAAGCAAAGAAGAAACCAATCAAATACCTGGTGATCAGGAGAGCTGCCATCAAGACTGTCCACGCCGACTGTCTCCGCAGACAAATCAGGGCACCCGCTCGGCGCCTCTTCGCAGCCAAGCTCGGCCAGCGCAGACCTGATCATCTCGGCCTGCTTGGCGCACTTGCGCTCTGCTACCCGGAGTTCTAGAAGCTTCATTGGCTCGGATGTCGTCACTGGGATCGGCGGCGGTGAATGCCTGGAGGATAGAATAAGGAAAATTAATCAATTGGAAAACGTGAACACGTCAAAGTTAGAAGAATAAGGTTGGATTCTAAGATGATTTCATTGGCTGGGTTGCACCATCCTTACTTTAACTATACCTAACAAACGTAAAAAATCTCAAACTCTATACAAGAAATACCGGTTATCGTCAGGTGGTGTTAAAGTTAGGTGGTGCAACTCAGCCTAAGTTTTCCTACTGGGTCGTCAGGCGTAGGTAGTAGGTACATCAATTACTAGGAGTTAAAAAATATAATCAATTTAAACGAGTACGAGTACAAAACGGTAGACCATAATAACTGCAATTTAAAATCCCGAGAAAGCCACAACTTTTGCGCCCTAGTATGGACAATCATTTGAACAAGTCAACAAAATAGGGAAATAACGTTGTGATTCATTCAGACCTACTTATTTTAGGTATAAGGAAATACTTTACCTGTCAATACCGTTAACGCCATTCGTAAGACCCGTGTTATTGTTCTTACAAACGCCATTGCCGATAATCTCGGGCCCTTGCAACGCCGTCTGCTTCTCCCGGTTGTCCTGGAGGGACGCCTCCAATTCGGTGAGTTTCTCCTTGAGCCACTCCACCGTTAGGTTGTCCACAGTCAGCTGGTTCGGTTGAAGCTTCCCGCTCGTGTCTTCGACCAGGCTTTCGTCAAATGTGAATGAGATGGGCGTTGATGGAGGTGATCTGCAAAGAAGTAGGACCAATTTTGATTGATTCCATCAATAACAAAGTACGCTAATTTATTTTGGTCTTTATTTTCCCTACTCAACACTTTAACCTTTGGCGTGCTATTGAGCCGCGCAAAACTGCACCCCCCAACTGCTACGGTTTTCAAATTATGATGTTTCAAAATGACAAAGTAGTCTTGTCTTAGATCTGAGACATAGCAGTTGACGGAGGTTGCACAGATCTGAGACAAAGCCAGATCCAGATAATGTTCATATTTTTTAAGCAAGGAGTAAGATTAGCGCTTAAAATGTTCGATTACAAAAACATAAATTGCAATCTATAGACCACTTACTTGTACTTCTCGATGAATTCCTTGTACTCATCCTGCGGCCTGAGGTTTTGCACCGTGGTTTCGATCTTGCTCTGGATTTCTCTGAACTTGTCCGTGCTGAAGTCTGACCTCTGCACTACCTCCAGCAAGATGCCTTTCCTGTTTACACGGAAACATTAACCCATTTAATATCCCATTAACAATGACGTCAAGCCGCATTACCCAACAGCACATGTCATGATAAAGTTGTTTCAAAATTAGAATTATGCAAATAAAACTTGTGTATCACAATTATTACCTTTCCTCGTTTATGATTTTGTTTCAAATAAGGATATGACGTCATAGTCACAATTAATTGTTGTGGTCAACAGGAATATTTACAGTAGGTGAGTTTCCAAGTTGATTCTATTTATCAGCATAGCCTTACCTCCTAAATTTTCCTTACTCTAACTAGTTCCAATTCCTTATTTCCTGAGTATAAAATCTTTAGAGAAGTACGCTCCTAAATTGTATAGGTACTGTAAATACATAAAAACACCTTCTCGCACCCCGGGACTCTGCCAATTGCTGTTGCATTAGCAATTGGTTCTATCCTCAGATCATAGAAGGGATGATCTATGATCTGAGGTTCTATCTATGCAGTGTACCAGCGACCTTCAGTGTACTCACCACGACGTAGCAGTGGCCTCTCCCTACCTCCCCTTCTGGTCCAGTAACGCGTCTGTCCTCAACGCCCTCGTACTCTGTGGCGTCTACACTGTCGCACTAGTCATGACTTCTATATTATATGCCATAGCATAAGCAAAGGTACATAACCTTGTACCTTGTAGTCTTTGTTTGATCTTTAGTATACTTACCACGACGTAGCAGTGGCCTCTCCCTTGCCTCCTCTACTGTACCAGCAGCGTGGTTGTCCTCAACGTTCTCTCAGTGGCCTCTTCCTACTGTCTCACTAGTGATGGGTTTTATTTATGCTATGTGCCAGGCTTTGAGTCAACTTCAATGAACTTACCACGACGTAGCAGTGGCCTCTCCCTGCCTGCTCTGCTGGCCAAGCAGCGCCATTGTTCTTAGCGTCCTTTCGCACTCCTTGGCCTCTACCTACTGTGGCACTAGTGATGGGTTCTACTATCTATGCTATGAAGGTACCTACTAGGGTTTTTTTGAGTCAACTTCAGTGCACTTACCACGACGTAGCAGTGGCCTCTCCCTGCCTCCGCTGCTGGTCCAGCAGCGCCGGCAGTGCGGCTGTCCTCAGCGCCCTCTCGCACTCCGTGGCCTCAGCCAGGAGGAGCACGTACTCGTTGTGTGCCCTGTGCAGCCTCCTGCAAGCCTTGCCGTACTTGTCGCGGGTCTCATCGAGCTTGCGACCTCCCCGACTTGTCGGACCTGAAAAAGGTTATGGTCACTTTGAGGTGGGGGTATCTATAAAGGGAAAAGAATTTATGTCGGAATAATCCGTTGGGGATTGGAGTTCGAATAATTTATTGAAACATGTACCTATAATAAGTAGGTAGTTCTAGTAAGCAAGTAATCATTAAAAATCCTATTCAATAAAAGCTCAATTTTTAAATCTTATCCCATTGAATTGATTTAATAGTTACTTACCTATATGGTCGAAATCCTGCTTTCTTGAACTTGTGACATTGAATTTTAGTACAATGAAATCATACCGATGAAAATTTCATAGAAAATTTTCCTATTAACACTTCTGAAGTATTAGATTACATGTTAATCATATGTTTATTTATGTAATAAACTAGTTTAGGTAGATAATGTATTATCTTGAATGAATTGTTTCTTTATTGCGGAAACCCCAACGGATTATCCCGGCATTATTATTTCCTTTCCCTTACATCATCATTGTTTATGTGTATTTTAGGTATTAGTATCGCCTTATATTAATATGATTGTATTAGAAAATGGGATGAGTAAACTTACACTTACATTTAAGGTAGTTCTCCTCGAACTTGGCCCTCATTTGCTTGTAGGACTCCAGGCACTTCTGGTACTCGCTTTGTTTCCTCTGCACCTCCTCTGACAACTGCGGACAAAAAGAACAGTTTCAATATCATGACTCTGATTTTGTCCCTAATTATGCTAAAAGGAATTGTTGGATCAAACCTGGTCTGTGGTGTTCCAGGCAATATCTATAAACAGGGCGGAAACGATCTCACTCGATTATTTCTAACAACTGGTTACTGATCCTGAAAGTGCTTCATGTACCTACTCTTTACTCTATCAAACGGTAGGTATTAATATCAATACTTAGGTTACAGAATATACTGAATCTGTCTGAAAATTAAGGCTTAGCCTTGCTCTAACTTATTTACGGGGTGGTACAGGCAGTTACTACTTTTAGCACTTTTAGTAACGATCATAACAATGTTTTCAAATGACTTTATAGCTTTACATACTTAACTACCTAATTAATCTCAGGTAATATTCAGTACGAACCAAATTCTACCGTTAATTACGCTATAAAAAGATAATGCGATAATAAGACAAGATAAAGTTTTTCCTCTGTTACCATACTTACCATACATCAATTAATTAGATGAATTAGGACTTAATTGCTGACAACTTTGTTTTTCTCACCTATTGAACATTTTATTAACAGTGTAATTGTAATTAATTTGATCGCTGATTACGTTTTAAACGGTAGACAAAGCGTTCATTATCTTTGGTGAAACGGATAGGTAGTTTGAAGTGGGTTACAGAAGTATGAATTTCTTTGTTATTTTCACGTTTGGTGCAGGTGTGTTGTGTTTATTTTCTAGGCATAAAGCAGAAAAATGAGGGCACTATTTCAACGTAGCTATAAAGCTATTGTTTTGCTCTATTTTGTTCCGTATTGAAATCGATTGTGCTACTCCCACGCGGCGCGGCGCGGGCGCAGCGTAACGCCAACGCGCTTCTAATCTGTTGTTGATACTGTTACACAAATAAACTATTGCTTCTATGTATCTACTTTTTAATAGTGCAGGTAAATTGTTTATGTAAATAATGATTACTACTTCGTACATGAAAAAGCTCCTTTGGAATTCTGATCTGTAATAAAACTTTGCAATGAATATGAGCGTTCGTAACAATTTATTAATAATATACAATGATCAGTCAGGCGTCAAACTGCCAGTACGTCGAGTGGCTCCGGAAATATTTGAGATTCCCAAGCCCAATCGGGTTAAGTAGGTATCAATAGGTATGCATACCTACCTACCGAATTGTCGATACTTTTAAACGAATGTTTTTTGTGCAATCGGTAATCTAGTTAAAATTGACGTTTATATCACTAGCTTAATTTACTGAACATTGTAAAACATCTGTTAAATTCATCAATCTGAACGAACAAAAAGAATTTCGCACTTATGACTATTTCGTAAACTTAAGGTTAAAGTTATTCCGCGATTAATTTCAATATAATTTTCAGTTTTTACAATATGGTAAAAACGGGACCATAAATCTTATTTTGCATCATTTGCTACGTCAAGACGATCATTAGATGAATCACGTGAGTATAATGATATTACACATTAAATAGCCGAGAACCCTTTATTAACCGAATGGAACGGTGAAGTGAATTAAAAACGCGTTACGAGAATATTGATTTAAGTATCATTTACTTTGTTAACTGACACGCAAATGCCATAATGCGTTCACGATTTAAGTTAAAGACGAGCCGAAGTTGCCACTAGTGCTAGAGACTAGTAGTTAGTTGACTTTTGTGAGAATCCCCCGGTTTTCTTATTAATTGTAGTTAATACTCATCGTTCGTTTCAGCCAAATGACGTCCACTGCTGGACAAAGGCCTCCCCCAAGGATTTCCATAACGACCGGTCCTGTGCTGCCCGCATCCAGGTACTTTCCGCGACCATCACAATATAATACATAATAAGTACTCATACTTAAGTAGAAAAAGAACATGCTCAAGCTAAAAATCTCAATCAAGAAACCGGGCCTGAAACTGGCCTGAAAATAACAATCAACGTAAAGCATCAAGCTACAAAGTACCATTTAAGAACAAAACGAGACAAAATCATCAATCCCAAGGCTACAAGTAGAACACGTAATCTGCCGAGCATTTTATTACATTCTATCTTGACATTGACATTTAAAAAGGAAAACATTCACGAGATAATATAGTCGTACGTAAAGCATTCCTTTATATAAATAAAAAACTGATCCTCTTGTTGAAAAAATATATTTTGATTCGATGTTACCTGTGAATAACAAAATACCATTCCTATAACGTGAATGAACTTTTCTTCCAAACGGTGATACACAAGTAATAAAACTTTATAATGTGCGGCAATTTGATATGCATTATTGAATTATAAAGATACTGTCTGTTCAGTCAATTATTTTAAATAACTCACAGTTATAATAGGTACCGTTATTATTTATTGTTTTTGCTCAAGTTAATTAAAAATCTTTGCTGTAACTTACTGGCAAATTACGCGGTTTACATTGAATAATGGACACTTCACACTTATTAAATGTTATTGAAAAGAATTGAGATTGTTATGTTAATGCCGAGTCATCTCAAATGCCGGGCTATACAAAATAGAAGAAAGTGGTTGTATTCGGTTGCAAATATGAATTGCACGAAAGTATACGCATTCAAATATCGTCGCACACTCTTACTTTCGATTCTGTCTTTACACATAATGATGAGATCAACATTTGCTTTGACCTCCTCTAAAAATATATACTACGTTTTCGCTTCTATACTAATATAAAAGAGTTGTAGATGATGATTTTTACCGTTAAATGCTGATTAACGTGATTTGTAATTTTACTATACGAGTATTTCCGTGTTAAAAAGTTAAGATGGTGATTTTACAAGCCGTAAGTTCCTCTATTTTCTATTTCTCTACATTAGTTTATTTTTCAATTTTCAAAGAGTCGCTTATCTCATCTACATACAAATAAAAATAAAGATGGACCCAACCCAACCTACACTCAACCGAAGGGTCAGTATATGGGCCCAGAATGGACCCTTGCGGTAAACCACTAACTACTTGCACAGTTCAATGGACTTCGCCACTTCGCCACTCTCGCTTTTAGTACACATTTTTTCGTTTATTGAATCCATATGATTTTATTGAAATACCCGATACTGCAATATTCAAAACCTATCATCGTACCATTAAAAGCCTATTTGCTTTTAAACTTCGCATTGACTGCACAAAAAAGCCATAGAAAGAAAGTGAAAACGATTTCGTTGTATGTAATGGAAGCGTAGTATTATTATATGATTATTTTACACGAGTATTTACTAAAGATGAAAGTGAAAGCTCCGATCACGCAGTAAGTAGGTAATGAATACCTAGACTAACTAAAAACTTGATTACCACCGTACCACGGCATCTTTTATTAACGGGACCCAATCGTAATGCACTGTTAGCTTCTAAAAGACAGACTTTGTCTTGAAAAGAAGCAGCTTTCTTGAATTATTCAAATGACAAGCAACTTTAAAAGAAAACAATAACCTTCAGAATTAACTCATAGTGCTTTACAGGGCTTTTCAATAATACTGTAAGGCTGAGTTACACCATCTAACTTTACCTGTAACTTTAACGATATCCGGTATTTTTGTATAGAGTTTGACAGATTTTAGACATTTGTTAGAGTTAAGGCGATAGGTGAGGCAAAACTGCAAAATAGACCTCTCTTTGAATCCCTACTCCTCCTAAATGGATGATCCAAACAAGAAAAAAAAATATGTGTGAGATGTATAATATCTTAAACTAAAAAATTGTTGTTCGTTTTTTTTGTTACAACTATTAGTTTTGACAGAAAAAATTCTTAACTTTCTTCTAATTTCACCAAAGAAATTTCCTACCCNTAAAGAGATAAAGCGCCCCAAAGTTCATAAGAAGAGGCCCGTGACGTCAACGCTTGCTTAAAAATGCCGCACGTTGTGACGTCATGCGCAACTTCAACGCACCATAACTATGTAATTATTTGTTAGATTGACAAATAAAAATATATGTGTCCAATATTTTTTGATATTAAACATTACGGACTAAAAAAATTTTTTTAGGCAACTAGCCTATTGTCAACGATGACCCACATAGCGAGTAGCGAGTCGTACGCGCATACCTTCTTGTACGAGTAGTGGAGTGATCTAAGAGCTCTTGTACAAGACTTATATTAAAAAACATTACGATACGATATTACTATCGTGTTCAATAACTTTAGCAACCACTTTTAGAGCATTAACCTAATTGCCTTGATTTTCTTAATAACCATAAAGGGAAACTATTTACCACGTTAGGAGGTAAAAGACAAATTCCTACATCAACTGAAAAATTAAAATGTTTGGTGCCCATGTAGACTGGAAATGCTTCGCTGAAACGACAGAGGTAAGTTTTCCAATGAAAATTATCAGGGAAAAAGACATTGTATGGGTTATTTGCTTTTATATTTTCTTTCACGTAGAACCTTTTCTCTCTCAATTCACTAAAGATTTTTATGAAAATGATGAAAATTTTGAAGCCAAGCGCAGAAGAAGTCTCTAGCATAAGTTAATTTCAATCTTTATTAGTCTGCCTTCGCCCTAAACGCAGTTCTCTCACAGTGGCACGCGCATCATCGACGGATCAGTCGGCTTACGTCATTGACCTATCATAACAAACATAACAACTAAATCGAAGGTGCTTGAAACAACCGTGTTCGTATGTACGTAATAAAACAACTGCCTATTGGCTCCGTGCACGATTACAGCGCCAACTAGCGTCCACAACTTTGTGGGCTCTGTCACATTGACATTTAGGTCGTATATTTGTGAAAAAATATCGAAATGAAAAAATAACAAATATTTTCAACTAATAAATTGTTGTGATACCACGATTTGGGTGGAAAAAAGGTTTTGAAATCATTTTGGTCATTCAAATCAAATAAGGTAAGTCCAAAAAGTGTGTTTAATTTTGATTGTGTCAGGGTTTGTTTACTTCATTTATAGTTGTAGTTTTACAGTAAAACAAAAAGAAAAAGCTACTTTAACGGTTTCATTATATAACAGTAAATATATTTAAATGT